CAGGTTTTAGGGCCTTTTCTTCGTGATGGCATTTGAAGATTTGAAGCAGCGAGTATGGATCGCAAGCATTTAAATAAGCTATGTAATCGTATTGAAAACAACAGTAAAGTTTTGCTATTATACTCAGGTGAGCACAACCACTCATTGCCCTGTTTATACTACTCAATTCCGTATACTGTATATCACACATAATTTAATTGGAGGAGCAGCACAGAGTAATATTTTTGCATAACTTTGGTTATACTAGTTCAGAATAATATTGTAGTTATACAATACCTTAATTGTCTCACCTCATGTTGTAGATAATTGCAACCTAACATAACCTTCCTTAATTCTTACTAGATGTTTTGGTATTGGTTGACCAAGTGGATAATTTTTCATATTTTTCTCAAATACTGTAGTACACTAAATTCAAAATGTACACTACATATTACTGTTTTAACATTAGGAGAGATAGTATACTGTACTAACCACTTAAGTAGGGGATCCCCTCTGAGCTAAATAAAATTGTCTGGCATTAACCAAATAAAATATTAAAACTGGCATACCTAAAGTGAAGGGGATAATGGAATCTTGCTTTCCGCAGAGGTAAACTCATCTCATTTTCACTTCTACATGCTGGGGAAACATGTGTTTCTTGCATGAGGAGCAACCATACAATGCACAATTACTGAGGATGGTCTCACATGTTTATAATCCCACTTTAAACTTCACAATTGCAAACAGTTAAGAAAATAAAGGAATCACATGCACGTCTGTATACTTTCAATGTGTGCTGTATTGAGCTGGATCACGGGGGTGCATGACGTCATGCGCAAGTAGTTGTGTTTTCTTCCACAAGTGACCAGAGCTTGTATTCTTTGGACCTTGGTGGGAGATAAAATCATGAGGAATTTGTCAAGGCCATACCAACAGGTTGACTCACTTAACACTAAAGTGAAGAAAATAATGAGATGATTGTAAATAAATAGATATTTATTCAGTAACTGACTGACCAACTGATTTAAAAGACTGTGTTGATAGCAGAACATGACATTAAGGTAGTCAACATAGAGAAATGAAGAGGTTTAATAAAGATGATGATGGAAAATAAGGCTAAGTATCATAGACTGTAATGACTTATGATGCAGGGAAGAGGGTAGTGTTAGACATGTACAGTATATGAATACTCTGAAAAATATCTTTAAAAAATTATGGAATGTCTATGTTAATTCTCCAGGACTCCTTCAAGACTTTACTACTCGGGTAATAACACAACCACATCTTCCTGTCCTCAAATGTAGCAATCATGTTTTTGGTGATGTGACCATCTCCTAACTCAAGTTTATATATCTCATTCATATAATGTATCTCTCCTGTAAATAAAGTACAGTACTGGATTCCACAACATGAACCCCTATAAACTGTCTACCAGAGAGGACCTCCCTTGACTCTGAGTAATGCAACATTACTTTTGGCCCCAACTGATTTGAAAGACTTGTAGTACAGCACAATATTGAAGGTAAAGTCACAGGTAAGCAAATGTCTTTGCCAAACCAACAAAAATTTAATTAAAAAGAGAATGAGCAGAGATGAGGTAGCTCCTCCTCCTGGTGTGTGACACAAAATTCAACAAGATTCTCAAGAGTTCATGTTGGGGATTCAAAGTAGACATGATACTATTTCTGAAACTTGTGCACTGTACTGTATTATGTGTGTGTGTGTGTGTGTGTGTGTGTGTGTGTGTGTGTGTGTGTGTGTGTGAGTGAGTGAGCACTGTATTATGTGTGTGTGTGAGTGAGCACTGCATTATGTGTGTGTATGAGTTCGCACTGCATTATGTGTGCGTGTGTGTGTGTGTGAGTAGAGAAAATTTTTATAGTGTCTATTGATCTCTAAACAATTGACATGCCAACTTTAACATTTATATTACAGTACAAAAATTTAGATGTTGGGGAGCTACACAGTACTGTATAAAGTATAATTATGTCCACAACATCTGAGTTTTTGTACTTGTTTGAGTTTAGGGTTTCAATGATGTCATGACATTGACTTCTAGGGCCACAGACGCATGATATACTGTATGTCTTCTTTATGTACACACAGAAACAGGCTCAAAAAAAAAAATATAATCCTCATTTTAAACACCTGACATGACTTAATAAAAATATTATCATTTGAAAATTTTCTTGTCTCTGATGCAGAGGAAAATATTCTACACTAGAAATATTACCGTACATGCATAGGAGTTAATACTACTGTACAGGTTGACAACCCTTTATCCGAAATTCCGAAAACCGAAAAGCTCTAAAAACCGAAAGTTTTTTTTTTTTTTTTGTGGGGCAAAACTTTTTTCTTTTTTTTTTAAACAGGGATTAGCCCACCCGGGCATAGATCACTGACCCACATCGGGGCCTGGGGGGCGAAAATGTAATAGTAATAATAATTACAATAATAATTATTCATAGTACAGTATAGTCTGGATTTACGCGGTTTTTGTTTACGTGGTGCCTTGCCAGAATGAAATGTTTTAATTACGCGGTAAATTTGGTCATTTACACGGCGAGCAACTGGAGAGGTCCAGACTGCCGCGCCATTTTTTACCCACACGGTCCAATCTTGACCATACGGGGGAAGCGGCGCGGTGAGTGGTGTGCATTAGGTCGCTCTTACGTTATCGCTGACGTCATATGACATATCGGACTGTGATTGGGCCACGCATCCTTACCACTCACGCATTCCCTCCGCCGCTAGCTGTGATTGGTCTAATGTAACATGACGTGCCCTGCCACCAGAGGGTAGAAGTCGCTGACCTAGCCGGGCCTGTCTCATTGTTTTCAGTCCGCGTATACAGTTCTCTCTTGTGCCCACTATTCCCCTCACGATGGCTTCCGCGGGACCCCCACCACCCGAGAAAAGCCTTGAACCTGGACCAAGCCATGATAATGTGAAGGAAATCATCGAGTTGGGGGGAGAAAATTAAGCTCATCCTTGACAACGACCCAAACAAGCACCGGTATGAAGTGTCTAATAACCTTCTGTCAAAAGTTATGGAGCCGTATATCCAGATCTATCTCGACAACATCAATGCTAGTCGTCAACTTAGTATTGAGAACTTCCTCGCCCGCAACCCATCACAACCACAGCCAGCCCAAGACAGTGATAGTGACAGTGAGGATATGGACTTTGAGGGGTTTGTCTGGGAGGCCCTGCAAACCTCTGCGAGTAGTGAAAGTGATTCACCAGAGGGCAACTAATCTGCCCTCTGCCTCGGAGCCAGCCGCCATCCACGTGTGCCGACCCAGCTTTTCTACTAACGTAAGTGTTAAAAAACCTAATATTATTGATATTTCTCTTAATTATTAATTGTGTGTGCATACCATCATAAAATTAAGATGTTATTTTTACTACAACGTACGTATTGTGTCGGAAAAAGTAGAATTTGTGGGTCGGCCCAGTCTCTATTTCAATTAATCCCATATGTTCTGTTATTTCATTTAAGTGTTTTACGTGAACCTCCACGGGTTCAATTGACCGCGTAAATCCAGACTATACTGTAAATAAAATTTTCAATAAAAAATACACCAAAATAAAATAATATTGATAACAATAATAATAATAATAATAATACAGTAACAATAATACAGTACTGTAATATTAATAAAATAATAATAATAATAATAATAATAATAATAATAATAATAATAATAATAATAATAATAAAGAAATACACGAATGAAAAAAAATCAAAAGTGAGAAACACGACCTAGACCTATGAATAATTATTATTATTATTATATTTTCGCCCCCCGGGCCCCAATGTGGGTCAGTGACTTGTGCCCGGGTGGGCTAATAAAAAATAAATAAATAAGTAAGTAAGTAAGTAAATAAATAAATAAATAAATAAATAAATAAATAAATAAATAAATAAATAAATAAATAACCATTCTGAAAACCGAAAAATTCCGAAATCCGAAATGCCTCTGGCCCCAAGGATTTCGGATAAAGGATTGTCAACCTGTACTGTATTTTGGAAACCACTTATTATTAATGTTTCAGATTGATTCTTTACGGGAGTCCTAATAATAAGAGGCTGAAAGGTAAGAACTGAAAGATAAGAACAAGGTAATTTTTCAACTTCATGTGTTAGTGATAAAAAATTATCTACATATGGCAAACTATCGTTTTGCTTATAGAGGTACAGTACTATTAATTCCTCTTGTCTGTTTAACAAACCCAGAGTAGTGTGCATTATACTGAGATAATATGTGCAACACATACAGTAATGAAACACATTACACCTACAAGAAAGAAACAAACAGTATAAACTATAACACCTAACATTCATCCCGTACGTACTTCACATACACCTGTCACATACACTTGGGAATATTTTGTAAGTAGGTGATCATCACAACACTTCTTATACCTCTGTATACAGTGTCTCATAATGTAACAATTTTTTTGTAAAAAATATATATATACACATCCTTAGAATAGATCTTGTGAAAATACCTGGGGAAAAAAACACTCCACAACTCCCTCCCTTGATCCTTAGGGTGTAGTCACAACAAGTGGACGGAACAGTATCATATTCTTGGAAGAATCTGACAGCAAATAATGCTCCTTATAACAGTACAGTTTACTATACTGACTTAAGACATCACTACATACAGTACTTCAAAACCCTTCAAGTGAGGAGCTATTCTATGCATCCCTTACAGAACCATGCCTTACCCCCATTTGTAAATAAATTGCAGAAAAATCATTTATTAATTGATTTCATTTACATTTTTGTTTCCTCTTTTCCGTTGTATATTTTGCCGAGGTGGTGTTGGGTGCGTGAGGTGAGTCATTGTACAGTATACAGTATTGTGTGACTCCCTTCAGTCCTTACCTCAGGTTGTCATCCCCTCAACACCTTGATCTGGTTGTATGGGAATGTCCTTAAAAGATCTGCGAATGACAAGTGAGCATCAACGAGTCAGAAGTAATGAAAGGGTATATACGCCATAAATCTCTGATCAACTAAAATATAATCATGGAGATTTACATTTAGAAAATATGTTCTAGATTCATAACAATAAATATGGTGTTTACCAAAACAATAAAATGAAAATAATAAGGTGTTAATACTTATTTATATCTTTACATATTATTAAAAGTACAAACTAAAAAATTAAAGCTGCTTTTCTATACAGTACAAGTCAATGCATTTTTTAATTTGGGTAGTACAGTCAGTCCCCGACTTACGAAGGGGTTAGGGGCCGACGACCAGGTCGTAGGTCGAAAATGCGAAAATAATGCATAGAAAATCTAAAATGGGTGTCTCTTTTTCTTCTCAGCACCACGAGAACTCTCACTTTTAAGCTTGCCAGCAATTTAAAGTTAATTACAAACGATAATTTTGTCAGTACACAGCGCAATCACTAACGTCGGGACTCGAAAATACGTAAATTGAAAAATATTTTATACGACTGCGGCAGTCGTATGTCCGGCTGGTCGTAAATCGAGTAGGTCGTAAGTCGAGGAGTACCTGTATATATAAAATTCATAATTTAACAAAATTATAACATGTGCTTGAGTTTGACCTGTTGTGAAGAGTTGCCAAGAATATTATTATTAAGTATTGCTATTAAGGAATAAAATTTGAGAAACAATGTTGTAATCCGGATTAATCGATACAGGACTGTACAGTACGATCACTGGGTGAGTGTGTGTGTGGTTTGGTGCGAGTGGTTTTGTGTGAGTAGTTTTCTGTGAGTGTGTGTGTGTGATGTGGTGTGGTGTGATGTGGTGTTATGTGATGTGGTGTTATGTGATTTGGTGTTATGTGATGTGGTGTGATGATGATGTGGTGTTATGTGATGTGGTGTGTGAGCACTTGATCACTTAATAACTTTCCGATACTTCCTTTCCTTATAAATAATATTTCCATAGACATATTACCTGAATTTCTTGACTCTGCTCAAAATACTATAACCAACAACAAGATTTCAGGTGAATATACTGTATAATAGTGATTTACAACTTTCATATCATTTGTCCCAATAGCAATAATGTCCAACTGGCACCAGTAGGGGGTACCTATGATACCCATGGGCACTGCTGACAGAATATTGTCCCTCCTATAATATCTTGGCACAGATTGTTCATGGGTACAGCTGCCCCAATGGTTTCATTACAAAAGCCACTATGAAAATATAGATAAAGTATACTGTTAATAATATGGCTCAATTAGTGTTGCATTGCAAATAGTGAATCAAACAGTCTTATAACCATCAACAACAATTTAGTTTTGAGCCTGTCACTAAAACCTCTTTCACTTTCTTTTCAAGTACTGTATGAACACTTTTGAGCGATTCCTTGCTCATTTTTTATCAATCAGCCTGGAGACATTCACAACTGTGGGCGCACAGTACATCCATGACTGGCAGTATTCTTTCTGTGATCAAAGTTTATTTACCACTAGCCAAAGCTCTGATAGCAATATATCAATGTAACACTTACACAACAGCTGTGTTTCAGAACAGTTTCTGGCAAATGGTTTGCTAAAAATATTGTAATACAGTATTCAGATAACGTAAAATAAAAATATTGTTCCAACAAAATAAAATTTTAATCACTTGTAATCTATGTGACACAACTTTCAAAAATTACGTTTAACACGTGTACTGTACCGGTAAAAGTTACAAGGTCACATGCTCTTACACACAATCAGTGTGTAGTTCATTCACTGGGCTGTATCATCATATCACCGGGGTGGGTCAATAAACTTAACATGAGTACAGTACACCTCTAATTATGCCAGGCATCCAAAACTGATATGACATGAGCTGACAGGCACAGATCTGTTACAGAATAGGTGGCACTAGTTTGGTATGAACCAGGTAGTATTTAGCTGCCAAGAGCTGGTGGCACTTAGTATAAACTTTGCAGCACTATACAAAATATGAATTGAGCATTTCTACACTGATGTGGATTGTGTATGGATTCGGACTTTTTTCTTAGGCACTGGGCTAGACTGAGTAAAGGCCAAATTTTGAATACCCATGGAGGAATCTGGGGCATCTTCTGGGGGGGCAGGTTTGGGCTTCCTGAGGGAAGACCTCAGCGGAGTTTTATTTGGGTCAAAGGCCACTACACCATTGGCTCTAACGTGACCATTACTTCCATTGGCTGTGATCATGTATGGCTGACCACTCAACTGTGTCATTGCCACTCCATTGGAGTTGCGATGCACTCGTGCCCCACGTTGGCTACCCCTGCCTCTGCTTCCTGTTCTGCTATGGTGTGCATGACCATTGCCAGTGTCCTTGAAGTTTGGGTTGGAGATGGTAGTGGCAGCTTTGCCCTCTGGATCTCGATTGTATACTGTAGGATCCCCGCCAAGCTTGCGAGACCACCCAAACTCTATTCCTGCACCCACACCCGCCACCACACCTATAACCACTGCCATCACCTGAAAAGTATTAAAGATGTTGATAGTGTACTCTACTACTAAATACTGTACATACAACAGTAAGGTATGATTACTGTTTATACTTTTAGAATTAAATATATTATGTGAAGATTTGTTAGAACTTCAGTCCTTGAAATACTGAAAAATACAGAACAATCTTTTACTGAATACCTGTATACAGTATAGACATCAAGGCTTCAGTCATAATGAACCTAATTTATTAAATGAAAGTTTGGGGACAGAAGATATGATTAGATACTGTACATTGATAATTACAGTATATATACGAGTATATAACATGTGAGGTACGGTATTGTCAGTACTACATGAAGCACATTGAAAAGTACATTATACATTTCTGGTGAGGTCTGGGGGCCACAGGAGGACCTACCTGTAATATAAAGGCCCAACTGAGTATGACGTAGAGGCCAGACTGCTGGCCAACGCGGAAAATGAACACCTCCAACATGAAGAAGAGTACACTGATGACTCCACACAGCACTGTTGGTGAAGTCCTCGTGTTAGTGAGACAGGGCACTTCAGAACATTTTCAATATACAGTACAGTATTGTGGAAATTATTCATTGACTATGTCAACCTGCTAAACTCCTATCCTTAAGTAAACCACCAACACATTAACAGGTTGATGTTTTAACATTTAAGATGGTGTTTTAATTATTACTCAAGGATAGCAGTTTAACAGGGTGGTGGTAAAAACACATAAGTTGGTGATTTAATTACTCAAGGATTGGGGTTTAACACTTTCAATATGGTGGTTTCATTTAAATACTTAAGAACAGTGAATTAAAAGGCTGATGGTTTAAATGTAACACATAAGATGGTAGGTTAATTGCTTAAGGACAACGGTTTTGTGTATGTGGTTTACTTAAGGATGATGGTTTAACACATATATGGTGAATTACTTAAGGACAATGATTTAAATAATCCCACCTTCCAGATGATAGTACGAGAGACGGGAAGGACTTACCTGAAGCGGCTGTACAGACCATCTTGAGAAGTGTCGCATGGCGGAACTTGATCACCGCCTTGACAAACGTGACGTGCATCATGACCAGCAGAGGGCACATCACCATGGCTACACCGAGGAACAGTGCACATGCCGCTGACCCCAACCCAGCCACCAGCGATGCCCCTGTGGAGTACATCTCAGGGTAAAGGTGTTGCTGTTATCAGAGAGCTCCTGTATCTCACCGACGGAGTGACTTGAGTGGATATGGAAGGTACGGTATGTGTCAATAAAGTGATTGGTTTGACTGGGGTGGAAACCATAAGTTTCAGGTAACTACAGTATTTATAGTGAATGTGGCAAGTAGAGCAAGTGAGTAGACTTACAAAGTGGGGTAACTGTGCCAAAAAAAACTATCTGAATCCATTTAAGACCACCGATTACTTTACTTGTGACAACCTTCAACTGAAAAAGCCTAGTTCTACAAGGTACGTTTAAGAAAAAACTCATTATCCAAACACCAAGTATTGAAGGGAAGAAAGAAGAAAGATAACTGTTTTATGTACTGTGACAAAGTTTTAACAGTGATATGGTTTCACTCCAAACATTCTTCCTTAGTTAAAGGGATAAGTACTGTACAGTAAGGTATAACTACTGCCAAGGTATTTTTGGCAGGACAGAGCACGGCTGTAACACCTGCGGTGTACGGACAAAAACTCACCGGGCAGGTTAGGTGCCACAATACAGTACAGTATTAACTAAAGTTAGGCTAAGTTAGATTTGTCCGTTGAGTTTTGTCAGATGAAATTTTGACATACCTCAATACACACAAATGTCAGTGTAGCTTAGTGCACCGACAGGTTGGTGAAGTAAAGCAATAAGTTTTATCAGTAATAAATGAGTAGCGTCCTGTGTCACAATGAGTAGCGTCCTGTGTCACAATGAGTAGCGTCCTGTGTCATAACATTGTTCTAACACTTAAGTAAAAAAAATAATGAGGACATACGTAAGTACAATAAGTAAATAATTTGAGAGTACATACATGTTCTTTGGAGTCTAGAGGATTGGCCCACACAATGATCGATGCCATACTGGCCAGACTGACATACTCTCCATGGGCCGAAGTACCCACTCATGCTGCCTGTGAAGACAACACTCAAATGAGTAATACATATTTGGGTTAAAAGTTAATGGACATTTTGCTACCTTCAGTAGGCAAATAATCAGAAACTTACAAAAATAAAATGAGAGTACAGTACAGATTGAAATACATAGTGTAGATACGGTGATTCCCGAACATTAACTATATCATAAAAATGTAAAAAACAAATATATATAAATATATTCCTACCGAGGCAGTGTGGATACATCACACTGCAGATTAGCCTTTTTACGGTACACAAGGAGGCAGTGTAACTGGCATTACACCCAACTGTTATTTCTACCCTATCTGTAATTTAGGATAGTGGATAACCATTCACAGCTGGGTGAAGTTGGGGTGCCCTGGGCACGAGCCAGTGAATCTTAAGATCGGGGGTAACTCAGGTAAGGGCTGCATCCACTCGGCCGCCTAGATTATAATAATCTCAGAGGATTTATACGGTAATAAAATATAATACAGACAGATACAGATTTTTGCTAAATAGTCCCCGTAAGGAGATGTGTGGTGATGTATCATAAGAGAGGCAGGTAACTTAAAGTTAACATAAATATAAACATCGTAAATGGAATTTAACTCATGAGTATTACCTAATGAATCTTAACACACCAGATCAATAACTCTAAATGAAGACTAAACAAACACAACATAAATGATGACTAATGGCGAATTTAAACATAACATCAACACTGTAGGCTTATGTTAGATCTTTAAAACAGTGAATCGCAGGTTAATTTTGTCCATGACTGGAGCTAAATAAATTAGTCTACATAGTCTCGATGTGGTTCTATTATTATTATTATTATTATTATTATTATTATTATTATTATTATTATTTATATATATATATATATATATATATATATATATATATATATATATATATATATATATATATAAATATATATATATATATATATATATATATATATATATTTTTTTTTTTTTTTTTTTTTTGGGGTTACCAAGTCAATGTGTTTTGGCGAAACTTTACCAGTTGGTTACATTCTTACATCTCCGGACACAAGAATTTGTCATGATTCACGTAGATCACAACGAAAACATTCCTATCAAGTGAAAATCATCACATTACAAATTGTGAATGACGTTCGAATTCCTGGTAAGTGTTCCCAAATACAGCACTGTATTATAATTAGTCTTCAAACTAATCTGCGAAAGCATTAATTGGAACATATTACCAAGGTGTAAAATCTGGGAAACAAAAGTGCATTTCTCTTTCTATCGTCAGGGTTAAAACTCGATGTTGATTTTTCCCCTAATTACTGGAAATGTAAGAAAGTAGCTCATTGACCATTTTTTTTTACAGAAATAAAAGTAATGTCCATAAAGTGGAACTAACTTTACACTTAGACTCTACCTTACATTCGCTTATCGTCATTTAGGAGACCATGTGTGCAGGCACTGCATTTACCATTAGGTAAATAAGATCAATAGGTATTGCAGAAGTCTCCCTAAAAATCCCTTACAACGTATCTCCAGATTTTAGTAGGCCTATTACGTGAGACAAAAACTCATGAATACTTTAAGATAAATAAAGAAAACTTGGGAGAATTAACTGTGTAATTTATGAAGCAAAAGGTCAGCGGTCAGGGTCATACAATGTGTTTCACTCTACATCATGAACGGGTAATAATATTAAGTGTGAAAAATAAGGGCGGTCACCCAGCGGAGTGCTTATATAATTATTGGGGCAGGAAACACAAAAGTCGGCTGTAAAAAGACAAGGTCATCTTGGGTGAGAGGTGAGGGTGTGGAGCCACAAGGTCACATACCTCAGCCATGACACATAGGTATAATTCTTCATAATGTTGATGCTATTCATTAGATACGCAAGAAGCATTTCCTTTCTCCCCGTGTGCATTGTCAATTTTCAGCAGTAATGAATAACAAGCGGGTAATTTTACTGACAAGCGCAATGGTCATTTGTTGGTTACCGAAGTAAAAACATTGAGTTACAAGCGAGTTTAAGTGGAGATGCTTCTTTGAGACAGACTTGGGCATCATCACCACCCACATGTGAACACAACGCAATGAATGTTTGTGCTGTTGAGTTGCCAAGCTCGTCACGTCCCAGGCCTGCTGTTGCTTATCGTGGCTAGTGGCTACCTGCACTCATTACACCACTTGAAGACACACCTAACTATTATGGGATGGTGTATGGGAAATATATATGGGAACTATATATATTAAACCTACAACACTAAAAATATATTGAAAAAATACATTAGTCATATCCTCTGCTTACAGTCACCTCCATTCAACCACAACGAGAAATCTAAAGCATTTACAGGACTTTCATATATCTCTATAGCAGGAGATATTTCTCCCAAACAACGGAGGTTCTGGCTTTGGGAGGTAAGAACATTCAATCGAGCTGCTCAACGTCCACCTCTCCAGACCCGACAATGCTTCTGGCGGGAAGGATAACAAAATCTGGTTCTGGTAATAGAAGTTCCGCATTTTCAGTCTCCATTTTCTTTTTGATTGTGTTTCCTTTGTGTTCCTATAAGATATTGGTTGACTAGTGTTGGAGCTAACATTAAATCACCACTATGATTACCAAGTACTTTCCAACATTACAATCAAAATTAAAAATAACTGACACAGCTTCCATAAGACACTACCCGAAGAAAGGATTTAGGATTAATGTTTTTAATAATTCTTATCGTGCAACAGTGCAGCCTGGGAACACAGCCACCACATGTCGGAATTTCAAGTTGCTTTCTCCGGAAGTGACCGACTGTCATGTATCAGCACACCTTCCACGCTCCCGTGTTGCCACTTCCTCCACCACAAGCTACTAACCCTCAATATACAGTACGTAGTAGCACCAATAGCCTAGGGTACATGTAGTAGCATGACTAGCACATGGTACAGTCTCAACCAAAAGTTGGTTAACTTTCCCAGCCAACTATTGCTGCACTGCCTGCTTCAGATGTATGATTTTTTTTATTTCGAACCTTTAGATTCATTCGTATCGGTTTCATGTTCTGGTTAGTACTGAGATAGTTTCAAACATCTGAAGAAGGCAGTGGAGCAATAGCTGGCTTGGAGAGTTAACGAACTTTTGGGTGAGACTGTACAAGAAGTAGCACTACAAGGCTACTAGCCCAGGTACAGTACATGAAGTAGCATTGCACTAGCCCAGGGTACATTCATGTAGTAGCACCACTAGCCCATCCGACTCAAGACCAATTGTTTAAAACTAAAAGTAATTTGTCTCGTTAAAACTCAAAATTATCTGGAGAATATGTTTACAAAAGTCAATTACAGATTTCATGGGCAATATCTCGTTAACGTAACTAGTAAAAACCTCCACGCTTTTTTTTCTTTCAATTTCACTTCGTACATCTCGTTCACCTTATATCAGTGGTGTAATTCAACGGATATTTCTACTACTCGCCAAAGACAAATGTCAAAAGTATATCAGTGAGGAAGGAGGAAATTTCAACAGTCACTCAAAATCCGGGTTACACACAATGACGACCACAGGATGTATGTCACCGTTTCCTACTCGGGATGAACACACTAGTGACGTCGATGAATATAATAACTAGTAATAGAGACAGTAAACACCACCATCACAATACAGAGGTTTCTGGACTGCTACAAGGCGAGGTTATTTCAGTAGCTAGGTTAGGTTAGGTTAGGTTAGGTTAGGTTAGGTTAGGTTATTTCAGTACCTATGTTAAACTATTTCAGTTATCTATTTACTAAAAAAAAATTATAATACAACCAAAATGGGACCAAAATGAGATAGGTTAGGTTAGTGTAGGTTATGAGATAGGGTACGTTGGGTTGGGTTGGGTTAGGTTCATTAGAGGCCTCAACAATCGTCACTAAACATGATATGACGCCAGCAAGACAATAACACTGACCCGGACAGACACTGAGTAGTCATTATATAAGAATTGAGTTCCTGGTTGAGTCGCACACACACACACACACACACACACACACACACACACACACTAAAGCATTTTGTTGTGGGGAGTTAAAAAATAATAATATTTACGCTAGGTTTGGTTAGGGATTCTCGTTTAAGGTAAGTTAGGTGAGGTGCCCTGCCGGTAACATACAGTAGTTATGTGGCTAAAGTGTACTTTCAACACGTTTCAGACAGATCCTTAACCCAACCCAACTCAACGTAACGTAATTTAACCTAACCTAAGTTAAGCTAATCTAACCCAATGTGACGTACCTTAACCTAACCTTGCTTCACTAAATCCACACTATCCCTGGCCATTATCCACACATCCTACACTATTCCAGACCTCCACCATACGTTCTACACCAGCCCAGACCTCCACCATACGTTCTACACCAACCCAGACCTCCACCATACGTTCTACACCAGCCCAGACCTCCACCATACCAGCCCAGACCTCCACCATACGTTCTACACCAGCCCAGACCTCCACCATACGTTCTACACCAACCCAGACCTCCACCATACGTTCTACACCAGCCCAGACCTCCACCATACGTTCTACACCAGCCCAGGCCTCCACCATACGTTCACCAGCCCAGCCCGTTCTACACCAGACCTCCACATACGTTCTACACCAGCCCAGACCTCCACCATACGTTCTACACCAGCCCAGACCTCCACCACGTTCTACACCAGCCCAGACCTCCACCATACGTTCCCACACCAGCCCAGACCTCCACCATACGTTCTACACCAGCCCAGACCTCCACCATACGTTCTACACCAGCCCAGACCTCCACCACACGTTCTACACCAGCCAGACCTCCACCATACGTTCTACACCAGCCCACACCTCCACCATACGTTCTACACCAGCCCAGACCTCCACCATACGTTTCTCCACCATTCTACACCAGCCCAGACCTCCACCATACGTTCTACACCAGCCCAGACCTCCACCATACGTTCTACACCAGCCCAGACCTCCACCATACGTTCTACACCAGCCCAGACCTCCACCATACGTTCT